ATTCAAATTATTGTAGTTCTTTTATTGAATGGAATTATAATTAATAAATATTTATAGTGCCGGATCAAAGTATTGGCAGAGAATTTTTCGCAATGTATGCAAAGTTTTTTACTTGAATTTCTTTTCGCACATGTATGTATATTCTTCCATGCAAATTATGTGCGACATTTTTTTTTTTGTATGGAAGAAACTGCGTATAAAAAATTGCCAAAAAACAAAGAGGTGTTCTAGCTATTCAAGCGAGCACTTTATTATACTAAAATTAAATGGGCTATAAAACTGCATACTTAGAATTTTTCTAAAAAATCTGATTTGAAAGTAGAACTTCATACTAACTATATTTTTATAAAAAACAATTAGAGAAGAAATCAGAATAAAAACTTTGCATTCATGGCGAAAAATTCTCTGTGCCAATATTTTTTCCCAGCACTGTATATGTGAAGATATTTCCAGATAAATAAATATTAACAAACTATCTATTAACAAATTAACAATTAAATAAGAGGGGTTTAATATATATTATAAGGTAGCTGAATTTATTTTTTATCTTTTTGCCGATAGGCTGCCAATTTTTTTGCCGGTCGTGTGCATATTGGAAGTGCTTCTTTGAAACAGAAATAAAAACTTCTTAGTCGGAGTTAAATTTTTGACGAAAAGCACCTAAGAAAATAAAGTGAAAGATTAAACTCCATTGGAAATCGGAAAATTTAAATAAGTAAAAAGTGGTAATAAATAATATTATTATCCGTACTTCTTTTTGCCGCAGTCGTTGCCAAACCAACAGCGCTATAGGGGAATTAAACGTTAAAATCCTTTAGTGTTGCTCCGCGCAGCCTGTGAAAGAATTGCTCGAAGAAACTCGTTAAATTAATTTGTATTTTTGAATTACATATGTAGTAGCTACTTACAAGAAGTTTAATTATAAAAGAAAGTGGTAGGTCGTCCTTTGCGTTTGCACCAGTCTGCCAATAAATCACATACTTAACAATTTTCTTAAATTGAATATTTAACAAACTACTTACTTATAAAATATTGTGATTGAAGAAAAATTGTCAACAAAACTAAAATTTTTTCTTGTGCTGACAAATTACTACAAGCCTCTTTCTATTATATTTTTTTGTTTTATCGTTTACGAGCTTTTCTCTAACTTTTTGGCGATACGAGAATCCCTCGTAAAACATAATGTTCGTAAAATCTACGTTTTCTTGCTGGCTGGGTGATATGTATGTGTGTCTTAATGTATGTATGTCTTAATGTTCACGAACACTTTGGAAATAAAAATCCATATAGAAATTATTCAAGTTGTCATAAAAAACTCATTAATTTGGGTTTCACAAAAGTTAATGAAAGTTGTTGTATAAACCTTTTGTTTGAGATGCGACAATGTGTACTTCCATCTCATGGTCAGTTTCTAAGAATAAAGCTTTGGCATCGGGTTTTTAGTCCGGGATCTTCTTGAGGCCAAAGTAAACCTTTCTGTAGCTTTTCACTGTGATGTCAAAAGCTTTCGTTTCGATGAGAAACAATACTACCCGTTTACTCCATATTTACTACTCACAAATTGTGAAGGAGGTAAGCTTGGATTTCACAGTAGGTACACCTCTGAGATTTCTGCTGGATTCCATGGTGTGACCGATATCAAAACTCTCGACTTTGTGGGAAGCCTCGGCATTTACCAACTACTTCCAGATGAACTTCTGGAATTACTTAGACTAATTTACCGATCGCTGCCTTGCCTAGTTTCTTCACTTAGGTACCCCTCGAAACAGCCTGGTTCCATGCATGATGAGGCCAATTCTGTGTTATTTCACGTTCCCTGTAGCTTAACTTTGTTCTTAATTGTTTTCATCTATAACGTCTACTTATTAGCAAGCCTTCGCTTATTTTGAGAACTTCTTCTCATTATTTGGCACTACAACCGTTTGGTCGGTTTGGCCTGAGAGCGAAAACTAATGCAGATAGGTTCCTCTGCAGTTGGTCCTTCCATTTTGTTCGTGGGTGCCCTGGATTTCGTGTCCTTTCATGGGCGCCGAGTCGAAGGATCTTTTCACTGGTGCGTCGTCATCCATCGTACAACATGCCCAAGCCAGCGCCATCGTTGTATTTCTATGCGCTTAACTACATGTGTACATATGTATGTCCATGTCGTTAAAAAGGTCGCAAACGCAAAGCGGCTTTAAGATCGACAAAAGGATGATGTTGACAAACTGTACAAATCAGCCAATGGTGGACTCACCAGCCTTACTGATAAGGTCAAATCACTTGGTTCAAAATGGTAACATTTAGAACGCTTACTCCGCGATAATTGGCGCAAATGGTCGTGTAGTTAACAAAGTATTCACCATATACAATTCTGACTAACAACTGGTACATGCGAATGACCAGCTTTTCGCCGCCGACTTTGAACAACTCAGCCGGTAAACCGTCTGCTCCACGGGTTATTTTTAAGCCACCTAATTGCTGTTCTAACCTCGTCTTGGTCGAGTGCCATAACGTGAGCATCGTCCCTGCACTTTGGTGAGGGTTCTTCATCATCTAACGCGCCGTCGATGTCGCCCTTAAAAAACACTTGTAAGTGTTCCCTACATGTCTTAAGTGTGCTCTTTACATCTGATACAAGATTTCCATCTTCGTTTCTATAATAACTAGTCTCGGTCTTTAAATCATTTTATTACTGCCTTATTTTCTGACAGAATTTGCATTTCTGTCTCACTCACTTCTTTTTGCCGTTATCACTCAGCTGTCGGTCACGTAGCTATTACGGTGCGGTTACACGATCAAGGACTTGGTTTCAAGTTTATCACACATACTGTTTGTCAAAATTCACTTGAATTGACAGCTGTGACGCAGGCTGCAAGCAACTTGATAGTCAATTTTACTTTTAAGATGCCGTAGTCCAGGCAACAACTTGAAATTCTCGCGTCGTTCCCGTACACATATTTATAATACTTGCAGTAATATCTTCCTAGCTATTTTTGTATAAATCCAGAAGTACGGAAACTAACTAATTGTGATCAGCTGTTTGACTTGACTTTCAAGTAGCCTCACGACTTGAAAGGAAAAATTGATATCTATTTTTGTATAAATCCAGAAGTACGGAAACTCACTAATTGTGATCAGCTGTTTGACTTGACTTTCAAGTTGCCTCACGACTTGAAAGGAAAAATTGATATCAAGTCGACGTTCAAGTTGTAAAAGTGCGAGTGTGTTAGTAAAAATTGTGAGTGTATTGCAACTTGGTTTCAAGTTCTTGATACGTGTAACATCCAAGTTAACTACAGAGCGGCTTTGCATGCTACGTAGTTTTCTGTGGCAGCCACGTGGTACTCTTCTTCATACCAGTTATTCCTGCGTGGGCGGTAGAAGCAAACCACCTCTTCGTTCTTTGATCAGGGAACACCCGAGTGGCTTTATGGATGTTACGATGCTGGTTTCTTGTACTACTAACTACCATGTTCCGTGCCGGGTTTCGAGTTATTCGAAAAAAAAATGCAATTCAAAAAAACCGGTTTCCGATTTTGAATTAAGAAAAAGATGGGTAGGTAAACCGATTTTATTTTACATAGTTCTCGTACAATGAAAATGCTTATGTTGGTATGAAGTCATGACCAAAAATTACAATAAAATTATTAACAGTAAAGATTAGGGCTGTGCGATTATTCGATTACTCGAGCAAGTTGGTTAATCAATTATTCGGTTAATCAATTACTCGAGTAATCAAGATTTTTATTACTCAAAACGATGATTAATCGAGTTACTTGAAATATGATAACTCAAAAAAATAATTTTGCTCGTTAATAGAGTTTGCTTTGGAAAAAGCTTATTTTCTTTTTTACATTCTGTATATGAAAAAAATTGTTTGCTTTAATTTTTGAAAACAGAAACATTGTTTTCAAAGTATCAAGGAAATTTAACTACTTTATACATATGTAAAGAGTTGAAATGTTGATTACTCATTTTACTCGAAATGTTGATTAATCATAAAGCATTTTACTCAAATATTTTTGTTTTTGGTTAATCAAAAATCTTGACTACTCGAGTAACTGAACTTTTGAGTAATCATAATTTCCAATTAATCGAATAATTGAGTTATTTACTTTATGATTGATTAAAATTTTGAGTAATCAATTAATCGCACAGCCCTAGTAAAGATAAGTTTTATTAGCAAAAGAGCAAAACAAAATTAATTCAAAGTTTTTTAGCTCAAAAGCTCTGGCCACCGTAGCCGAGTGCTACATCTAAGCATCTACTGCCACCCGGGAGGTCCATGGTTCAATTTCTGATCCCAGAAAAAAAAAAAAAAATTCAAATAACGCAAACCTCCGA